CCGAGCCCAGCTCGAAATTTTGTAGGGCTTGAATAAAATATTTTCAGATTTGGGTCGGGTTTGAGCAAAAATTCAGAAGTCCGAATTAAATTTGGACAGGCTTGGGCAAAAAGGTCAAACAACTCGAGCAACCTGTAACCCGAATTATATATATATAGATATATAAAAATATTAAATATACATATAAATTATTGGTCATTACATGATATTAAAGTAATTTAGATTATTAAATCATATTGAATACATATTATATATACAAATAATATAAAATCTTACTTTTTTTTATTTTCACTAATAAATTATAAAGACTACTATAGCGGCATCTTTATTACATTATATAAATTATTTGTTTTGATGATATTAATGATTTTCTATATAAAAAAAATGTAAATAGAGTCAAAATTTAATAATTTAATAATGTAGTTGCAAAAACAAAAACAAAAAAAATCATTTACAATTCGGGCAATTCGGATTTAACTCAGGTCGGGCTTGGGCAAGAAACCTCGGGTTACAATTAGAGCTTGGGCAAGCTTGGGCAGGTCTCAGCACAACTTGGGTTAGGATTGGACAACCTCCCAACTCGACCGAACCAGCCCGAGTTGCACCCCTACTTGAATCAAGGCGCTGAACCAACTGTAAAAGCGTTTGGTACGAACCAATCATGGAAATTAACTCGCATCCAATACACGGAAGGTGTACTTGATCTGCCGCGAATAATGGAATTGCTTAACGGATTCTTTGCTCTTCCCATTAAGGAGCAACCTAACATTTTGACTAAGTGCCGGGTGGCGAAGAAAGAAACTTGGTGAGCAAGTTAAACGGTCCTTATAAAAGGTAACCTCACTCTCCTTGAGAGGGGATCGACCTCTTCACACTCTAAACTTACTCATATATTCTACCTTTACCATTCCAAATTCTGAGACTGATTTGACCATCGGAGGGGTTTCTGACTAATCCCTGGTCGGGCAGCCTAATCGTTTGTTCCTTGTGTAGGCCTTCACCCATTGGTGCACCAAGGTTCGTCCACAAAAAGAGTGAAGCTTGGAGATTTGGAGATTTGGAGGTTCGGAAGTGACAAGAAGCTTGGAGATTTGGAGGCTAGGGTTTTGGCTCGAGAGATAAGGTGAACAGTAGGGGCGTGTGACCCCTCGTATGTGTATAAAAAGAGTGAAAAATCCAAAGGGCGGCAGCCGTTTGAATTTTGCGCGTGAGAGAGACAGCGATGAGGCAAAGAGCTACAACATCAATGACGATAGAAGCTTGGAGATTTGGAGGCTAGGGTTTTGGCTCGAGAGATAAGGTGAACAGTAGGGGCGTGTGACCCCTCGTATGTGTATAAAAAGAGTGAAAAATCCAAAGGGCGGCAGCCGTTTGAATTTTGCGCGTGAGAGAGACAGCTGTGGGGCTGCACGAGTCCAATGACGTGAAGCCACGTGGCAGCGAAGAGATGGTTCTGTCAGTACGGTTGTACGATCGGTGACAAGACTACTAGCGCAATTCAGAAGACTGACCAAATAGGATAGCTCGGTTGTGGTTGTAATCCCAATCACGCTCAGCTCGGATGAGATTAGGGGGTAATTAAGAGGAAGACTTGCGCCGGACAGGTACGACCGAGCTACGGTAATGTGGGTCATAACGGACCTTGCGAGAGCCAGGCTATTTCCTCGGTCGAGTGATTCCCCGGCCTGTCATCCTCGGCCGAGCTAGATTTGTCGACCAGAGCGTGGAATCAGGCGTGTGCTAGACCGAGCTATGATTTAGCTAGGCATTCGGTTAGGTCCGCAATGGTGCTTCTAGACCAAGCCAAACACAGCCCGGACTGAATTTAGGCCAGGGCGAAGGCCGGCACGCCTCACGGGCAGTCAGCCCGGAAGGACCGACTTCATACAGCTCAGCCGTGAGAATCATTGTTATGTTTCTTCCCAAGGGATAGGTCGGTCATGGTATTCCGGTTTGGCGTGCCACCTGGAACAATGGTGTGATGGAGGAGAAATCCACTCCGGGTACGTGTCAATACCGTTTGGCAGTTCCACGCATGCTGTTTGGGGGTTTTAGCCTTTACACGCATAAGGTAGTGAGAGGAGAGCACTGCCACCTGTCTAGGGAAGGACAACAGAGGTAGTGCGTGCATAATCCTTGAGGCTGCATGGTCAGCCTAGAAAAAGGAAGAAGGGGGGACGTTGGAGGTAAGCAATTTTGAATAACTCTATCTCTTTTTCTAAAAAAGAGCTCTCTACTTCCTCTTCAAGTGATCTGACTTGATCGTCGGAGGGTCTATCCGGTAACAGACCGCCGGACAGCTCACCGTTTATCTGTTTCCAGGTCAGACATCATTACGTGAAGCTTGAGTTCAAGGAATACGGAAAGCAAAGGATATTTCACCCCCGTACAATTATCATGCTACAATATTAGTCACTCCTACTATCTGTCCTTTTGCTTTCTTTCTTTCTTGATTATTTATGTTATGTTAGGATGTTTGGATTCGAAAAATGATTTTATTTTTCTGGGCATCTTGACCCTGTTGTTTCATTTGTATACTCAGTACTTGTCATATTTATTATTTATTTGGCTTAAAAACCTAGCTGAATACCCCTTGATGTTTATTATTGGGAATGAAAACTTACAACTATAGACTATTGTGGGATTTATGTATCTAACTATATCTATATATTTATTTAATTTCTCAAGTGGAGTTTACTTGATGACCATACCTCACCCACAGTCTTGTTTCGTTTTCTTGAAAATTGCCTTGTTGGCACGTTTGTATAATATCTTATTTGCGTCTTGTATTTGCATCCTTACTTTTTAGCCCTTTCTTTGGACCACTTTGAACACCATGTTGTTTGAACCAATGTACAAGAACAGAGATAGGGATTTCAAGATTGAACAAAAGATTTTTATTTTTAGATTGACCAGTCTTGAAGCAGTGAATTCATTAGGATTACAAAGAGGGTCTTGATTCATGGCTATAATTTAATTGTAAATATAGAAGGAGCTTTTTGGGTTGAAGTTAATAGGTCAAATTCAAATATGATGGTGGTTAAGGAATTTGAAAGGATTTAGCCTAATGGTAACTGAAGTGCCCAAAATGACATGGGCTCATTAATCAATAACAAGGTCCAAATTGAGGAGCCTTTTCATTCTTGGTGCGTAGTGCTTTGGGCCATGCTTCACAATGATAAAAAGGGTTTAGCCATTGGTAATATTGTGCATTACATTGCCATGCTTGGTAATTATTGGGCTTCAATGTCTTCTCTTCTCCTTTTAAAGGGATATTTTATTTTATTTTATTTTTAAAGATGATGAAACCCAAATCCAATTGGGTAGAAATGTAGACCTTGAGATGTTCTAACTTTTTCTCAAAGGTACAAGGGTGTAGAGATCAAAGAATCAAGGCCAAAATGTAGAGAGAGAGTATATTTTAGAGAGAGAATGTCCAAATATAGGTTTTTGGAAAGTTTTAGAGAGAGAAAGAACCGAAAAAGTGACATAAAACATCACTTTCGCGATATGATATACGCATAGTCTGCTCGAGCGGAGAAGTTGACGCTCGAGCGTCAGACACAAAGTTTTGTTTCACTCGAGCGCAAAATTGGCCCGCTCGAGCATAGAATATGCACATCTAGTATTTATTCAAACAACAGACAACCCGCTCGAGCATAAGGAAAGACGCTCAAGTGTCTACCCGCTCAAGCTTAGGAAATGCCGCTCGAGTTTGAAAAACACTCATTCAGTACTTTTGCAGACGTGCCAAGTATTGAAAGTTTGCAAATTTCACTCGAGCACAAGAAGGCCCGCTCGAGTGGAGGACCAAAATTATGGGCAACAAAGTTTGGGAAAAACAAGTAACTAACCTATTCCAAACACAACCACAACAAACCCAAAGGCCAATTTTAAGAGATACAAGGGAGGCAAGAGGTAAACAACAATATGGAAACATTAAATCCAAGTCCGAAATACAACAATTGACGGGTTAAAAATTGAGATCGCTATAGGATCACTCGATCCGTTGGGCTTAAGATCATACTTGGTCTCTATGTTTGGTCCCTTGGTGGTTCTTTTCTGGTTCAAGTAAACGCTTGGCCCACACGATTTGGGCCATTAAACACTAGCTCGGCTCAAACTCGTGCTTAGGATTGACGATCTGATCTCGTAGAGTTACTAGGCCCAAGCGTCACCTTTGGGCTTGTAGTCTTTCCCTTGTTCTGCTTATGCTTGGTGCAGAGTTGTAAATGACCCTCTTCATTTTATTTGATAAAATTAGGAATATAAAGTTTAATTTGTTATAAGGATTAAACCTTAGAGTTATTTATGTAAAATTTTCAAAATCTATTTTAACACTTAGATGTCAATATATTTAAATTAAACAAGAGGATTTTTCAAATCATAAGTATATTGTATTATATATATATATATATATATTATTTTTAGATTATTAATGATTTCATTTTGTATAAAAATATAACTTATTTCACTATAAAAAAAATCAACATAGGAAACAAAAAAATAAAATATAATTGATAATAGAAAAACATAAAAGAATCATTTAAAGGGATGAGAACTAATTTTTTATCCATATAACTCTAAATTATTAATAAAAAAGAGTTAAAATATTATGTAAATTAAAATTTAAGAAAATTTAATATAATTATGTTAAATTTGTGGGGCATATTATATTTTTTCAAAACCTATATAAAAATTTAATTTAATTTAATTTCATGTTGATTATATTATTTTTAAATTTTTATTTAATTTCATGTTGATTATATTATTTTTAAATTTTTAGTTAACTTATAAATTTTGTAAAAACAACTTTCGCACAAAGATTAGAATTAAAAGAAAATTTTAATTAAAGTAATTGATGCTTTTAAAATTTTAATTATTTTTGTCTCAACATAAAATAAAAAAAGAAAAAAAAAACCCAATTATGGAAGATTCGTAAAACAGGTAGAGATTAGGGTCAAAAAGGAAAAATCAAAAACCTTTAGCGGTGTCAAAGTGTAATTATAAAATAACACAGACTTCTCTGCAGCAGAAAGACGAAACAACAATTTGTACAAGCGAAAAAGTCGAAGAGCAAACCCTAACCGAGAGAAGAAGAAAAACCCTTCGCCGGAACTCGGTCGAAGCTTTGTCGGAGGTCGTCGATCGCTGTCTGGTATTGCTTCCTCTATCATTTTCTCTCTCTTTTTCCACTTCAATGGTTGCTCAATGTTACTGGTCTCACTGATGCTGTGTTGGGCAAGATACTTGGACATGATTGTTGATTTTTTTGTATATTTTATTTAAATATATACTGACTTGGCTCATATAATGCACTTGCATCTTCCATTTTCTGTTACATTTTAGTTCTGTATGCTTGTATGAAATAATTTTTAAGTTGTATGTTCATAGGATGTAACTGATTTTTCATATATAACTGTTACATCACATTTTCTGTTTGGTTTGGCTGCTAATAAGGTGATTGGTTAGGGAAAAACCCATCTTAAAGTTTTCCAATGGTGTATTCATGATATCCTGTGAGTATAAACTGTTTATGGGAAAATTTAGTCAATTTATTTGGGGTCAAAATAGGTGTTTAGGAAAGCAAAGAGTTATTCTGGTCAATTGGTTGATTTGGGTAAGTATTTTGGGGATTGGTTTGAATTTTGAATTAATATACTTGTCTTAGTCAATTTACAAATAAAGGTGTTGGTTGTAAACACGTTTTTTTATTTATTTTTGGGCTAGGGGGTGTGATTAATTATAAACAGAAAGGCATTACGAAGTCATAGACAACTGATCTGATTTGCCTTATCTGTAGATCCACTTTAATAGGATTATTTTTTTAGAGATTTTCTATTAAATTGATGGTATATAGCCTCATAATAATTATTTATGATGATGTGAAATAGGATTGAAGACATTTATATTAATATTTTTAATTGCCTTTAGGTTATTCAATGAGAATATATTGTAGTTAAGTTATTCATGGTAAATTAAATACTTGATCCATTCTTTAAGAAAGGAGGTTCTCAAAATATTTAAGGTTGTACAACTAAGGAATCTTCTACCCATAACATTGAAACTTCAGCTCCTCCCGAACAACGTTATTTTGAAGCTCGTAGAGTTGGATCCAAACAAGTTTGTACATCTTTGGTTAAAGATTTGGGTCTGCGACAATAAATCTGGGATTACTTATACCTGAGCTTGACGAGGTCAGACGTGCACATAGCAAATCTGGACTACATCAATTCAAGGCTCTGAAAACCAACCTTTGGAGATGATAAAAATGGCTGTAGCTTTCTAGATTCTAGGCTCTAGTTAGTTCCAAATTCGTTGGTTGGAATACTCTCGAACAAAAAATCATGTATTTTGCCTTCCAATCGGATGCCCTAGAGTTGCTGTCAATTGCTGCTATAATTTAACAAATCAATCTTAAGATATTGAGAAGATTGTTGAGAACAAACGTCTACAAACTGCTATAAATCACTTGCGTTGATGAAGCTCTTGGCTTCTTATAACTAAGCATTAAAGTGGCAACAATCGTATTGGAAAATGCTCCTCAAAATGCTTCTTAAAACCTGATTATTAGTATTTCTCTAATAAAATACAAAAGTTTACACCTCCTTTTATCCGATACTTATGGTTTGCAAGTGGTTGCACATATCTAGGGTTTACTCTGTAGGGTTGGGTCCAAATTGCGGGCTTTGGAGGGGTTCCATCCATTATATATATATATATAATTGTGAGAGATCAATGATGGATAGTTGATGAATTTTAAGTCAAATCGAAAAATGATCCTTAAATTTTTGTATTGGATGTATGTGTTTATATCTAAATATATCTGTTTAGATACTATATTGATGATGTAATTCTTGTCTTAGATTACCTTATTTTTTTTTTTGTAAAATTTGTTGTTATTGAAGAATTAACCGTTATAATTTATTGTTCAGCCATGATTTCTAGCTTTAGGAATATAGTGGGAGAAAGTAGAAATTTTGGCTTAATGTGTGTTGAGTTCTTGAATCTATAGTTGTATGTGTAATGTGTTTCATGAGTTGTATCCTGGTTTAATCAATATTTCTATAAGTATGTATGGGTTAAGATTGTAATATATTTGGCTTGAATTGTATGAATTTTGAAAATTAACAACATCATAATATAGGAATGCAAAAGTTTAACCATGAATTTGTTAACAAAGAACTAGGGCTGACTTAAGCAGAAAGCCATTGCATAAGGCCCCCAATTATAAGAGCCCCATTTTTTCTTAGCTTTATATACTGTAATGCTTTGACATTTTATCAACCATTAGAAAAAAGTAGCAACTAGAGTGCAATAATAATCCGAACTCTAAAAATAAGGGATACTTTAATTAGCAAAAACTGGTTAAAGGTCATAAAACGAAGCAGTAAAGCTAATTGTTAAACAATATATGAGATTGAAAATTGTGAGTTAAATCTTATTCGACATGGCTATTTGGTATGATATATTTTTCGCTATGAATTTAATTAGTAAAAGTTTTCTATCAAAAGACAAGCGTATTGATGTTGCTAAATTAAAAGAGCTCATTTATTTTTCTGAGAAAATGAATTTACATTTGCTGTAATTTTTATCTAAATGATTGTAGATAAACTAAAAATAGAACTTATATTTCATGAAAACCATGTGATTTGTCAAAAGAAATAGCTTGATGAGAATGTCGATGATGTGACGACAAAATCGACTGAAGAATCTTTTAGAATAGATTATCCATAGTCTTAATCTCACCAGTTTTCTAAAACATGACATTTTTTTTTTTGAAATAGATAGTTTAGATTTGTTTTTTGAAGTAAATATTTTAAAAGAATTTATGCAGATAGGATAAAAAAGGAAAAAACATCCCATTGGACGTGTTTGGATTAAAAGGAAGAAAAATGGATACCCAGGGGAGCGTGCTAATTTGCTCTTAATTGAGTTCCAAGGTTTTCATTCTTAAGAAGAGAGCAAAAGTGTTATGGAGGTGTGTCGTTTTTGCCATCTTTTGGGGCATTTGGTTGGAAAGGAATGCAAGAATTGTTGACGACAAATTCAAGGAGGCTGAGGTGTTGTGGGACAAAGTGTGTTACTGGGTGTCGATTTGGGTGTCTTCTTTGCCTCATTTTTAAAGGGGTCCCATTCTTTTTCATTTCTAGAGTTGGAAACTTGTTTGTGATGTATAGGGTTTTTGTGGTTATTTGTTTTGATGTAATGGTCCTTGGTTCTTGGAGTGGACAACTTGTCAGTTCTTTGTAGTTTGTTTTTGCTTCCTCGTCAATAAAGCTTCTTTTGTTGCTGATAAAAAAGAAAAAGGAATACAATTTTTGCAAATTCTTTCTTCTTCATTGACATACTAGTATGTTTAATGGAATGCATAATGATTGACATTGATTTCTTTTTCCAGTTGGTTTCCAGTTGGTCTGCCTAGTTAACATTGCACATCCAATTTTCTGGTATGGAGATATGCTCAAGGAATTCAATGTAAGTTCCAGGCTACGACATTTGGAGGGTTGACAAGTACTCATCACAACGAGGGCTTCAGCGTGTTTAAGTAATGTGGACAAATGTCTTCAAAATTGTATGATTCTTGCCTTGCCTAAGTTTATTATATGTTTCTTTTTCCTTTCTTTAAAAAATAACATTGGATCCTATAGATTTTAGTGAGTTATATATTTATTTTCTTTCTGATAGGTATAGAAACTCATTGTATTGTGCCATGGGGGTATAACCCAAATGAACTTGGCTCATAATGATCAACTACTACAACGTGACATGATAACTGTTAATTGTTATATTTTGTTCACTTGCATATTTTTAGAACTAATATTCTGAATTAGAAAACTAAGAACTATTTAGAATGTTTTAGACTATTTTTTTGATCAGTTAAAAAATAACCAAACTAAGCCTTGTTTGTCAATTAGGTGGACACACTAATAAATTGAACCTAATTTAAACCACATAAAGTAACCTGGTAATATAAATTTGCCCAAAATAAAACCCATGGCATGTCCAGCAAATATTGGCCTTGACTCACACAGGCCTACTAAACTCTAAAGTAAAATTATACCCGTAATCAATTAACCTATAGAACACAAAACAAGACTCAAATTTAACCCTAAATATTGCTATAAAATGTCCACGGTTTGCGTCATGTTAAATTCCAAATTTGCCCCATTTCTTGTTGGCTGCTATGCACCAAGAACACTAAAGTTATCTTATTTTTTCGCTCTTTTCGTGATGATTTTTAGTCAGGCCTTTTGAGGGGCCTGAAGAACCTGAATTGCAAGTTAGGTCAGAGTTTCAATATGTGGGGTATGAGATTAAGGCAAGTTTGGGGTATTTCTTGCTGCATAGTTTCATTCTGTTAATGTGGTCTAACTTTATTTTTATTATGCATGCTGTGACCCACTGATGTGGGCGCTTGGTTATTGCTTTCGCCAACTTCTATTCATTATTTTTGCTTTTCATATTGACCAATTCTACAGGGAGGTTTTCATCAGGTATCGTGGTTTCAGTTTCTCCCTCATGAGTCTGATCTCAACCCTTTGCCTGATAAAAGGTTTGATTTTCGGACAATATGACATTTTCAAGTCTTATTGAATATTTTTCTTAATGTGGAATTAGAAATATATGCTTTGATACATTTTTAGTTCACTGTTAAAACTAGAATTTTCTTGCTATTTGGGCAGTGCGAAACTGGAGCAGAGAGATGCTGCTACTCTAGCGGTGCTTTCATCCCATATCCAGCTGCAGAAGGAGGGATTTCTCAGCACATGGACCAATTCTTTTGTTGGACCCTGGGATCCATCTCAGGGCCTCCACAACCCCGGTAAACATTATAAGTGGTGGTTTAAGACATGCTACCATCTCAAGGCTCTAGATCTCTAACTACTGATTGCTTGTATGAAATGCACAGATGAGAAACTTAAGCTCTGGCTTTTTCTCCCTGGGCGTAATTCATCTGTTGTAGAGTCTGCTCAGGCTGCTGTATCTAGATTGAGAGGTATATTTGTCCTCATAACTTCAAATAAAATTATAGATTTTTTTTGGATTTTCTGTTTTTTTTTATTTATTTATTTATAAAAGTTTCTTTTATTTCTGAATTGTTTCAAAACTTCTTCATGTTATTTAATTATAGAATTACACTCCTCTACTCGACTCAAATTAATTTTACAAAGCTTTATATTTTTTTTTGGGGAGGACTGCATTTTTTCCATTCAGTTGTATCAAGTACTGATGTAGGACGAATAGGGACAGCGCTGTAAGGGCTGTTCTGGGGCGGTGAAAGTGCTGAAATTTAAGAAAGAAAGGAGGAGAAGAAGAAAATAGGCCTAGGAATCACTCATAGAATCACTCATAGAATCCCTTAGGCATCACACCTAGGGGTTAGGGTTGCATCACACAATCCAAGCTTCAAAAGCTTTGAAAAATTCTCTAAAATATAAACTCTATTGAATTATAAGCATTATATGGCTTTATATAGAATTAGGAGACTTCCTAAATCAATTAGAACCAAAAAAAGAAACTATTATAATATTTTTGACTTCTAAAACTAATTTAAGACTAAATAAGAAACATAAATAAAACCTAATTAAATAACTTGACCCACAAGACGACTCATGCGCACTCCCTACAGCCCATGACAACAATAATGAAAATTATCAAAATACCCTTGACCTAAAAATCCTACAAAACATAAAAATAATCATAAAATAATACTCTAATAATACAAGGAACATAATTATATAAAATTCCTATCAGTTTCTTTATGAAATCATGCCAATGTCCTAATATCATTGCTTCTTTGAATTTAACATTCCTTGAGCTTCTTCTTTGCATCAAGTACCTTATGTAGTTTTCAAAAAGACATCTGAGTTAGTAATTGTAGCATTTATTTATTTTTAAAATTGTGGTGGAAGTTCTTGCATCTGGGCTCTGGTTGGCTCCTGGAGACTCAGAAGAGGTTGCAGCTGCTCTATCTCAGGCTATAAGGAATCGTATAGAAAGGTATATTTGTGCATTTCTGAGTTGTTATCATTATTTAGTTATTTCAATGGCCACATATTGACAAAAAATTTATTGGAATTGGCAGAGCCCTGTTGGGACTTTCCTACATGAGATTTGGTGATGTATTTTCAAAATACCGTCCATTTTCACAAAGTGAAGAACTTTACAGGTTTATTTTAATAGATGTCTTATTTTGAGTGTAAGGGGTTTAGTATCAATTATGATGGTTTCTATTGTTCAGAATTTTAATATTTCATTATTGTTTGAGTTTTTGTACTTCTAATGTCATCTACCTGCATGCTACATTTAATATGTTACACATGACATGTGCTAATCTACATCAAAAACTTTGACTCTTGTTCTGGGGTCAAGACTATGCCCAATGTTATTCAATAGGGTGCTGACTTGTGGCATTTCTTCATATCATGATCTGGAAAAAATTTAAAGCAGCTTGCTATTTACAGGGTGATAACTCTGATTATTGTCAGGAAATTTCTTGCTATTGATTTTAATGTGGTATTTGCTGTCATAGGACAAGGTTTTGGCAGTATGCTTTGGAGGTTGTCGGGTACATGAGAAATGTTTGGTTTAGTTTTTGAAAAGAGTTTTGAGCTATGAAGCACAGACACGGACACGGACATGGGACACGGCAATTTCTAAAAAATGGAGACACGGAGCAAATTTTTTAATTTTTTTATAAATATTTTTATTTTAATACACATTAATTATTTTATTTATTTATTATATTTTTTAAATAATGTGCTATTGTTAATTTATATTTTATTTTTAATTGGTATATATTTTATAAATAAAAAAATATAACAAATAAGGAATAATAAAATATGTTAAAATAAATAAAAAGAAAAATTAGATATTTTATTTTATAATTTTTTTATTATATATGATTTAATTAGATTTCTTTTAAATAATTGGATGATTTATTTTATTTATTATATATTAAAAAGTTAAAAAATAATAATTTACAAAAATTATTATATATGATATTTTAAGAAATAACAATTAGATATTTTATTTTATGTGATAAAAATTATAATTTATAAATTTTATTGTATATATTATATAACCAAACCAAACCAAACCAAACAAAACCAAGACTTAAGTCCCATCAAATGGGGTCGGCTACATAAATCCTTCTTCTCCACATGGCTTTATTAAATGCCATTTCGTTAGTCAAATTAAGTAGATCTATATATTTATTTACAACGCTAGCCAATGTTAATCTAGGCCTATCTGGTCCTCTAACATTTCCATTCACTGTCACTGTATCACATCTCTTCACTACTGTCTCTGTTGGTCTGCGTTGAATGTGACCAAACCATCTCAATCGATTCTCTCTCAACTTATTTTCTATCGGGGTGCTATTCTTACCAATTTCCAAATACACTCATTCCTAATTCTGTTTTGTCTAGTCTTGTGACACATCCACCTTAGCATCCTCATATCAGCTATACTCATCTTATCTACATATTGTTTATTGGTTGTCCATCACTTCATCTCATACAACATCGCTGGTCTAATAGCCGTTTTATAGAACTTACCTATTAGTCTAGTGGGTATTCGTTTATCGCGCAGTCTCCCAGACGCACTTTTTTACTTACACCATCCCGCCTTGATCCTATGGGCCACATCCGCATTAATCTACCACGTTGTTGTGATAATTGACCCTAAATAATGAAAATGTTCACTCTTAGGTAGTTCTTGGTTCTTAATCTTCACTTCTCCTCTTCTTTCATTGTTAGTGTTACTAAATTTACAATTTATATACTCTGTCTTAGTTCTGCTTATCCGGAATTCTTTAAATTCAAGTGTTTTTCTCCAAATTTTCAACTTTGTATTAATTTCTTCTCTAGTCTCATCCACTAGCACGATATCGTTTGCAAAAAGCATACACCATGGCACGTCATCCTGAATATTTGTTGTCAACTCATCCATAACTAAAGCAAAAAGATAAGGACTTAAGGTAGATCATTGGTGTAACCCTACAGTGATAGAAAATTCATTTGTCTTTCCAGTAGGTGATCTGATAGTGGTCACCACCTCTTCATACATGTCCATAATCACATAAATGTAACTTTTTGTCACCCCTTTCTTCTCTAACACCCGTCATATTATATCCCGAGGCACTCTATCATATGCTTTTTCAAGGTCGATAAACACCATATGAATGTCTCTTTTCTTTTCTTTATACTTTTCTATTACTCTCCTCAAAAGATAGATCGCTTCTATTGTTGACCTGCCAGGCATAAACTTAAATTGATTCTCTGACTTCTCTGTTATATCTCACAATTGGCGTTCCATCACCCTCTCCCACACTTTCATTATGTGACATATTAGCTTGATTCCTCTATAGTTGTTGCAATTCTGGACATCTCCTTTATTCTTATAGATTGACACTAAAATACTCTTTCCTCCATTCATCAGGCATGTTCCTAGACAACAAAATTTTGCTAAACAACCTAGTCAACCAAGCAACTCCCGTTGTACCCAAACACTTCCAAGCTTCAATAAGGATATCATCGGGTCCTAAAGCCTTATTTGATTTCATCATCTTAAGTGCAATCTCCACTTTAAAGTTCCTAACCCTACGATAGAATTTATAGTCTTGGTTTATCGTATTACTGGCTATTTTTTCCCTATTGACGTACCTCTATGTTTCTCATTTAATAGTTTTTCAAAATAGTTATTCCATCTTTTCTTAATCTCTTCATCCTTCACCAACATCTTAGAATACTCACTCTTGATGCACTTAACTTGATTAAAATCTCTTGTTTTCTTCTCCTGTATCTTAGCAAGTTTGTATATCCTCTTCTCTCCCACCTTTCTATCTAGTTTAGTGTATATGTCATCATAAGCTTTCAACTTATCCTCCCTCACTACTTTTTTGACCTCCTTATTAGCCAATTTATAGCTCTTAAGGTTTTTCTTAGTTCTATCATTCTGCCACTTCTTAAAGTACTCTTTTTTTGCCTTAATTACCGTTTGAACCTCTTTTCTCCACCAACAAATTTTTTTAGAGCTGGGTCTCGTTCCTTTCGACTCTCCAAGCACTTCCCTTGAGATTCTCCTCATACAATTGGCCATCGAGTTCCACATAGTGTTAGCATCATCTTCCAAGTCCCAAGTATCTTCCTTATCCATTCTATAATTAAATATTTCTAATTTATCCATTTTTAGGTCCCACCATCTCGTTCTATGACACCCACCATCATTCCTAGCTTGGTATTGCCTTTTAAAATATAAATTCAGTACCAAAATCCTATGTTGAGAAGCTAGGCTCTCTTCAGAAATCATCTTACAATCATTGCATTTTAGGCGGTCTACTTTTCTCACTAAGAAGTAATCTATTTGGCTCTTAATTGACCCACTTTTAACGGTTATCAAATGCTTCTCCCTCTTCTTATACATAGTATTAGCCACCACCAAGTCAGAAGTCAACGCAAAATCTAAGATACTCTCTTCAGCTTCATTTTTGTCACCAAAACCGTATCTATCATGCACCATTTCATAGCCTAGTTTATCTATGCTTACATGGCCATTAAAATCTCCACCTATAACTTGGTTCTCTCTTACGGGTGTCTCATATAAGATCTCATCCATTTGCTCCCTAAAATCCCCTATAGTCTGATCATCTAATCCTATTTGAGGGGCGTATGCATTAATAACATTCACTATATTCCCTCCAATACCTAGTTTAACTAACATAATCCTATTCCCTTTCCTAATGACGGCAACTACATTCTTCACAAAATCCCTGACAATTATGATTCCTACCCTATTCCTGCGCCTATCCTTATCACTAAAATATAGTTTAAAATCGGTATCCTTAATTTTCCTTTCTCACTCGTCCACTTAGTTTCTTGTACGCAAGCTATACTAACTTTCCTCCTAATCATAACATCTACCAATTCCATCATCTTACCAGTTAAGGTTCTTATATTCCAAGTGGCTACCCTAAACCTATGGTCTTGGACTAGCTTTTTTACCCGCGTTCGTTCAAAAAAACACGGGAACCTTTGCCCATTTTTTACTGCACCCAGGCGTCGATGCGGTGCCCCTTGCGCACTTTTCGAGACACCCGGAGGCAGGCGTAACGCGTCACTTGAGGGGAACGACCTAGCATTTAAATGATTCAAAGTAGGATTCATTGTCATGAGGGATCCGAGCGGGTTTTTTACGTGTTGGCTGTCGGCTACCTAACACACAACCTTTCTCCTTTACCCGGGCTTGGGATCGTCTCTGTTCTCTCTCTCTCTCTCTCTTTTATTATATATGATCAATTATCTTATATAAAGTAAATTATATGCAAACAAAGAGAAAGAGAGAGAGAGAACAAAGACGATCGAAGAGAGAGAGAGAGAGAGAGAACAGAGACGAAGATGATCGAAGCCCTCAAGGGACAAAGCCCTTAGTGATCGATGATCGAATCCCTCGGAAGATGATCCCATGGTGTGTCCAGATTTGGACACGCGTGTCCCAGCCGTGTCCCAAACAATTTTGAAAATTGATAAATCAAACATGGTCTTTGATTTTTTGATCCAAATGTTAATTTAAAAACTAAACCAAACGGTACCGAAATGTTTAGGGATTGCAAGAGTGGAAAAGGATTAACTTGTGGGTTAGATTTGGAAAGATATGGACTGATCAACTGGTTCTTATTGAGACATGATGATGGTGTTATAAGAAAAATGAGCAAAGAGCATGTTATTTGGACTTGCTATTGTAGGTAGTGCTGACTAGGTGACAGAGGGTCATTGGAGTGTGGAACCACATGTCATGGATGCCAAGGACAAATGAAATATCTGGGTGAGAGAGAGAGAGAGAGAGAGAGCACCATGATGTGAGCAAATGCACAAACTACGGAGCTCGGGGATGAGCTCTCTAGGGTTGTAGAAATCTCATACCTCCCATTTATTTTTTATTTATTTATTTATTTTTTTTGGGGGGGGGGGGTTTTAAATTTATGGGGGGTGGTATGCTAGCTTATTTTCTGTTCACCCCTCAATCAAAATATGCTACCTTACGTGTCAGATCGTATAAGTTTGTTGGATTTGTTTTTATCCACCAGTCTTCGTACACTACCCTAGTGGCGCAGTCTCCCTCTCATTAAGGTTGACTTAAGTTTGTGACACTCGTGGGGGGCGAGATGCTGAGTGACACCTCTGTCTCTAGCCATCTAATCACAAGACCCCAAAGTCCCACGACCTTGCTGAAGATTTCAGTGTACCCAAATCGCGTGTCTTTAACTAACGCAATAGCTGATGCTTGCATGGCATGAACTCCCTTTTGGGATTTTATTTATTTGGGAAGAGGAACCAAGCGGGTGCCACCCATATACGTCATATAACAAGAACAACAAAACTTCTAGACATATGATGCATAATACTTACTAAAAAATCTCTACAAAATCCAAAAATTAGTTCAAGGATGATCATTAATACCCAAGAATTAACTGTACGAAAGGGATAGGAATCTATTTTTCAATTTTGAAAGTGGAACTTCCTTTCCATGAAAATTCCTTCTATCTCACTCGTCTCAAATTATGAACATCAAACACAAAGGCACCAAAAACCAATTTCCCTTGGTGTTTTTTCTCTCTTGGTTGCTATGAAAAGAAAGGGGCATGCCTGTTTAAGTCTGAGTTTGAGGTTTCCAATAGAGAAAATTTAGTTGGGGAAATGTAATGATGGTGGTTCCATATGAATCATTCTAAAGAAAGAGTTCGGATCCTATTGATTTATTTGCATTTCTTTACGTGTTGTTTGGGGAAATTTTCCCATTGATGTGCATATTTGTGTTTTTCTCTCTCCTTCCAATAGATTTCATAGAAGCACAGGTATGGAGGATTCTGTGCTTAGTTTAATAATTTTAACATTTATACATCATTGCCGTCTCTTGTTTTTGGAAAACATTTTATTCTTTTTCTTAATTTACACGTAGTTGATAAGCTTATTTTCAATTATTATCAAGGACAACGACGTCATTTATTTGTTCAATGTATTAATCTGGGGTTGTGTTCAGGTATCCTTACTTTATTTTTGGATTTGGTGGAATTATGGCCCTTTTTTGATGTCATTATGACCCTTTTCATTTTTTTTTTTTGATGATTTTGTGATGAAGTTTGGTTTCTATTGTATTAATCACTTTGGCTTCTGATTTTAGCTAATTAATAGTTGGTAATCTTGTAGGAGAGGCCAGCCTGTGGTTGAGTTCATTTTTGCTGCCACTGAAGAGGCAATATTTGTCCACGTTATAATATCTGCAAAGTTCGTGAAATTTTCATACCTTTTATTGGTCATAATGGCATAGCATCTATTTGTATTTGAGGTTGATAAATATTTATGCTATAATTGGTGAATTAATTTGCATTTGTTCTACTTGTGTTTAGGCATATCCGGGCACTTTCAAGTGGTGACATGGAGAAAATATTGAATCATTCTTCTAATTACTCTGGTGACAGTCTTCCAGGTTGGTTTCTGTGTACGCTAGTTGGTATTGTCATGTGAACTTTTGTTTGAACACATAGTTCTTGGTCGGTAGAATTTTTTTTATGACTCTGTCAGCTAATTTTTCTGACTCTTTTTTATTTTTTACTTTTTATATTTAGTTTTTGCGTCATGGCATAAAATAAATACTAATTAGACAGGTAGTTTTTGATACAGAAAGTAGGAAGCAAGTTTTTTTTTTTTTTTGTTGGGGGGGGGGGGTTGCTATTGATTTGAAATTAGAGAAGGTCGTATCCTGGCCATGAAGTTGGGCTGGTGCACTATGATCTGGCTTGGTCATAAAACAGCCTACTACCCGTCAACCCCAATGTTGATCCTATCAGTCTGTGGTGCTGGGATTCATGAACTTGAAGCATGCCTAATCGTCACACAAGCGCACACACAAGGCTAGCTGTTCCCGTACTTGGACCATATCATGCACTAATCTGTTTGAGCTAATTCTGTAGCATTGGAAGGGATTGTTGAATAATGCAATCACTTGGACCATACCACTTTATGATATAAAATGTCATGTCGTTGAGGAATTTGGTAGTCTATAAATGAGGACTTGTATCATAAGGATGTTGAGATGGTTTAGTGGCTATGTGAGGGATAATAATATTGTAAAAATGAGTGCATTTGGTACTTATTTGTTTTTTTAATTTTATTTTTATTGTTTTTGTTCTGTTTTGGGTAACCTGGAGGGGGGAGGGGAGTGAGTGAGCGGTTGAGGACAGGATGTGTAACAAAACAATGACTACTTCAATGAGTTGTTTGGTCCAAGTTGAATAACTAGATGACCCTTATGATAATATAAGGTTTGGCGACATGATTCTTATGATTTGATGGAAAACTTACCTTGAATTGGGTGTAAGAAGCCCATGTTTCGTATTTTTTGTTTTTTGTTTTTGTTATGTTTGTTTGTTTTTGTTTTTGTTTTTTTTTTCCTTCTGTTTTTTCCTTTGTTATTTGATGTTTAATTTCATACTTGGCATTACTTTGTCAAAAATCTCACTGGTTAGTGGGTTAGATCAAATATGAGAAGTGGGAAACAATAGGAGAAACAAAAGTGGGAAATACAACCTAAAAATATGTAGGAGATTGGAAGTAGGTAAACAATTACAAATCAAAGGGAAATCTAATAGGAATTCTTGCAAAAACCTTTTCCAAACTGGGAAAGGGAGCATTAAAAAAGCTTCCTGGAAAATTTAAACTTATATCAATACTTGAATAGATACATTAATAGAACATATCAGATGCTAAAATTGAAACATAAGGAGAAACAATAAGGAAACAAATGAGAATCATTTATGGAAATAATTATGAAATTTATTATAATTGTAAGGTTCTTTGGAGTAGTTACCGTAGCGTTTTCCAGATTCTCCCTCGTTTCTTTGGAGTTTACCCGTAATTTTCATAATAGTATCATAACCATATTATAAATGCGCTTCTGTATGCATTTTCCCTTTCAAAGAGAGTTTCCTCGTAACTATAGGTTAGACCAAACTTAAGAAACATTGTTGGATGAAAGTAAGTGTTGGTGTGGTTTTGGTACTTGATGCATCAACTTCCATTGTCTGTTAGTTTCATGGGGTTTTAGCGCTTTAGCTCACGATGCAGTAGCTCTTTAATGCTAATTCTTATGTTCCGACAATGGGAGTTGATCTTGTTGTTGCTCCCTCAGCATGTTAGTTACGTACCTACTAATTTTAATCATTTCTGTGATTAAAAGATTCTTGGTATGGAAACTTTGCTGCCATTCAATCTTGTAGTGATTTCACTTTTTACTGTCTGTTTCTGCAGTAATTGTCTCACCTCATGGAATGCGTGGTAGGGTTACTGGATGTTGTCCAAGTGACCTTGTGAAGCAAGTCTATTTAAGGTTGTATTATTCTCTTATCATAAATATATTTTGTTTGATGCACTTACATACGTCTTCTTGTTCATGTCAAATAAATTACTCATCTTGTTTAAGTATGAAGCTTGTGTTGATCTTTGTTTCTTCGTTTTATTCACATGGTTGAACAGTTCCAACAAGTTTAGGACTTCAAATGGAATCGTAGGTCTGCCAGGCCATGTTTCACAAGTTTCTGGTTGCCAGCTTAGAGGGCAAAGTTGTTACGTTGAAGTTACCCTTGGTTGCCCTGCTACTGGAAATGACAAGCCACTGCAACAGAACTCAAATTTGAAAAAGAATTTTCCCAAGCATCATATGACTGAATCTTCTGCTGTGATAAGTGGTGTTCAGAAGGGGTCGCCAGATCAATTTTCAGTTTGTGAAAGGAAATTCATCTACCCAACAGAGGCAGTGCTTGTTCCAGTATTACAGACGTCATTTGCTAGGTCTTCTCTGAAAAGGTATATATATATATTACTGCATGCCTTTTGTTGCATTTTATACCAATAAACAATGCAGTGTCTTATAGCTTTGCCTAGATGAGGGCAGGTGAGTAAATTGGGGAGAACAGGTGGATCCAATCTAATTGGACTGATCAAATGAAGCTTAAGCCAATGATACAGGATTCAGTTTGGCTATCCACTTTGGGCTTCTCATGGACCCCTCTCCCTTCCCTGGTCGATCTGTCTGTGAGGGTAGACTAAAAGGTTGAGTTGTCTGATGCCTTTTGGTACCAACACCATTTGAGGTTCAATGTATTGAAGAATCCTTTTGTGGTCGGTCTACTGGTGAAACTGCCTGTTATTTTGTTGAGGTTCTAAACTTCACTTGTATGTTACATCTAACATTGATGTGGTTATCTTGCAGATTCTGGCTGCAAAATTGGATAGGGCCATCATTATTTGGTTCATCGTTCTATATGCATTGGTTAGTGCATTTATGTATCACTGTTTGTTCGTTGGTCATTCATGTGTGGTTCATCGTATAGTTAATTATGTTGGTGTTGAGAATTGGTCTCTGAAGTTTCATTTCATCCTCTCTAACTGCAATTTTGATTTCAACAGTGCCAGTGAGATAGATTCTGTGGATGGATCTTGGATAATACCCAATGGAATCCGCTCTGAACATGATTATCATAGTAGTAACAATAGTAATAGCAGTAGCATCAGCAGCATTAGTAGCACATCTAGTGATAGTGATTACAAGATGAGCACAGGAACTGGTGAGCTTGAGGCAGATGCTGATTCTTTAACATGTAGACAGTCAGGTTTATCTAGTGATCAGTTGCAGATAGATGGCCCCAAATCGGTACTGTATTTTTTTTTTACATTCATGAAAAAAATTTCAACATCTTATTTTTTGATGTGTACGTGTGTCTTTTTACTGATATAGTTGTGCAAATGTGTGTGCATGCATTGTTATTTACTTAATTTTAATTTGAACGTGTTGTCTTGCATTAATTTTGGGAATTTCAACCTTAAATTTTTATTTCTTTGGAAAAATCACCTCAGAGGGGTATCAAATTTATGCCATAAATCTTATATATATGTTTGCCATATATATGTAAAAGTGATGGATGTAGTTCACTCTCTTATTAAGGCAAAAGTTAAATTGTTTAATTGAATTGAGAACAGTGGTATTTTTACATGGTTCCAGCAGTATGATTCATAAGAGAGATGTCTTCTTGAACATTTTTTCACCTGAAATTTTATTTGTGAGAAAGGTCTATATGATATGATAGGAAGCATATACCATATGTGATGTGAGTAACTGAGGGAAGACCAAGGACTTGGAGAATGTTTTACGAGAATGCTTTTTCTGATCTGAATGCCAGGATTGAGTATTTTATTCCATTCTAATTCTTCTTTATTTGTGATAATTTATGGCAGTTGGCATATAAGATATCATATTCTCTCTGCAGGTTTCCAAGCGTCCTAGAACAGGGATGGCTGGGTCTTTTGGTCAAGCTGGTACGGTTGCAAATGCTCGTATGCAAGATACATACCAGTCTGATTATGGTTCTGTTGAAGTTAACAATTCAGCGATTACTGGAGTTGCAAATGATGTTGGATCGCATTGGGATTGGGATGATGATGACCGAGGTGTCTGCATGGATATCCAGGCACTTCTCTCTGAGTTTGGTGATTTTGGTGACTTTTTTGAAAATGATGCTTTGCCTTTTGGGGAGGTAATTCCTATCATTACAGATGCAATGATGGCAACTTCTATTTTATTCAATATCTGTACAAAATTGTGGTTGTGGATCGTAGGTAGCCAAAATTATATTGCTTGTAAATTGCCTCTCTCTGTCTCTTGGGTGATATTTTCCACAAATGATCAATCATGATATCAAAATTTTTGAAACTTACTAGTAATTGGGATAGTTGATTCTAAACAGATATTGGCCCCGTTTGGTAGAGCTGTGAGAAAGTGATTATAACTTATAGCCTAACAGCTTATAGCTTATAGCTGTGAACATAAGCTAATTTTTGACTTATAAATTAAGCTTCTCCTCCCCCACTCAAAGAATAAGTTGATTTTTGACTTACAAAAAGCTATAAGTTGTATTGTTAAGCTGAACCAAACACATCAAAATAAGCTTAAATTAAGCTAAAAGCTGAAATAAGCTGGAAATAAGCCCTACCAAACAGGGCCATTATGTTCTACTAGGTTCTTACATGGTTGATATACAATACATCTTCTGTAGCACATATTGTAATTTATGTTACAATACTTAATGGCCTGTGTTTATACAACTCTTAAGGCTTTATAGGTTTCCCCTATTTCATTATTGTTTTGAGGATGTGTATTTTTTGAATTTTCTGATTTGAATTTCCCATGCCAACTTAGTTCCACTTGATGAATGAACTGAATCCTGTTCCTCAATATTTTTCCTTTTGAATTCTTTGCTCTGCTGTTTCATCTTTGTAAGTTGTACTATATATCTTCCATTACTTTGATGTTTGGCTTCCTGTTTTCTTATTGATGTTTTCCTTTACTAATGATATGATTTATCATAAGAAACTAATTATGATCCATTACTTGGTGAAGCCCCCAGGAACTGCTGAATCGCAGGCTCTTATGTTTTCTGTACCGGATTCTGGAGATGTGGGTAGCAGTCCTGGTACTGGGATTATGGATGTTGCAGATCAGATGCTTTTGCCTGCAGGTTTTCCATCTTTTGATATGTTTAATCCTCCTCCAGTGGCGACAGAGGAGTCTCTTAGCAAAAGTCAGGAGGCCCCAAAGAATCCCATGTCTTCAGGTGCAGTTAACTGTACTCCAGCATCCTCTACGGGTGAGTTTGTCCATTTAATGAAAGCTGAAGCACTGATGACATTTGCTCCAGAATATGGAGCTGTTGAAACCCCGACTAGTGAGTTCTCAACACCAATTTTCAGGAGCCCATACATTCCTAAATCTCGAAAAGTTGACAGTGCGAGTTCAAGCCCGAAATGTTATGTATATTGTGCAACACCACCTTCCTCTCCTTGCTTAGACGGATCTGATGAGAAGTCTGGCATGACTTTAAATACAAAAGCATGTCCCAGCAGGCATGATTCAAGTGCCACTCTCCATTCAAAGAAATATTATACTATTGTTGAAAGTAGGAAAGGGCAGCATGAAAAAAAGATATTTGCTTGCAACAATGGTGTTTCTAAACATGATGTGGCAGCGTCGTCTTCATTCCCTGGTTTCAATTCTACAAATGCTGTCAATTCCGTTCAGAAGAAAATGAATGAAGCAACATTTGGAGCAGAAAATTTTCTCATGTCTACGAGAACTTTGCTTGCAACTGAAGTTGAATGCATTATGTTCCAAGCTTCAATGTGCAGGATTCGACATACCCTGTTATCTTCTAGCAGCCTTCTGCCTATGGGCTTGAGTAGGTTAACTGGAAGTGCAGTTCAGAATCAACTGCATGGTGAACCAAGCACCACTACGGACAATGTTTTTGCTAAGTACGAGGTGAAAAAGAAAGAATCTATACCAATTAGAATAGCTGGTGATATTGATGGAGGACTGCTAGATGGTCCACTTCATGCTCCTGTAGGTGTTTGGCGCTCTGTTGGAGTTCCTAAAGGTGCAAAGCCTAATATGTCACCAAGTATGGAAATTTGCCCACCCTTACCACCCCATTTGTCCAACGAGGAAGGTATGCTTTCGTTCGGGATGAGGCAACCACTTCAGGAATTCCTTGATGGCTTGGCATTACTTGTCCAACAAGCTACTTCATTTGTTGATGTGGCGCTTGATGCTGATTGCGGTGATGGCCCTTACGGTTGGCTTGCATTACAAGAGCAGTGGAGGCGCGGATTTGCTTGTGGACCTTCTATGGTCCATGCAGGTTGTGGAGGAAGTTTGGCTTCATGTCACTCACTGGATATTGCTGGTGTGGAGCTAGTGGATCCACTTTTAGCTGACGTAAGCATACTTCTCCCCCTAAATACACACCCTCCCACCTGCCCATCACACACTGAGAAGCTTTCATGATGCAATAGTTCTTATGCAGAGTATCTTGATTTTTCAGGTTCATGTATCATCTGTTGTTGGTCTGCTGCAATCGGACATTAAAACAGCCTTGAGATCTGCTTTTGGCCCTTTGGATGGCCCATTGTCTGTCACTGATTGGTGCAAAGGCCGCAGTCAATCAGGAGATGCAGGAACCATGGGTGATGGATTTTCCGCTGAACTCACTGGAGGTGAATGTAGAGATTCTTCAAATACTGTAACTTTATCTGTTGGGGAATCACTAAGCCCATCCCAATCTTCTGTTGTTGGTTCTTCATGCCTCAAGGGTATGCATTTGCTTACATTATAGAATGATATTGTACATTTTCGATGTACTAACAGTTGGTCCATTGCTGCCACAGATGGAGCTAGGGTGGATGAGATAAGCCAAAGAAGATCAAGCCAAGAAAGCTGTGCATCAGAGTCAGAGCAGCAGCTGGGTTTCCGTCTTAGGCCAACCCTGTTTGTACTACCATTGCCTGCTATACTCGTGGGGTATGCATCGTGATCATGAAAGTCCTATAGTGGGGATTTACACATACTGACCATTGTTTTAATGATACTTTTAATTTTCAATTTTTACAAATTTGTCAAGATCCAAGAATTAATTGAACATTTTTGTTTTCTCACTATATAGTAAAAGAGAATGCAACTAGTATGCTATTTATAGATGACAAAAGTAGAAGTTGGACATTACAATTGATATATGATAATGACACTCGGTTAAAGTTTATTAGAAGACTTCATGCAGTCTTTTGAATGTGAAAGACAAAAACTCCTTTAATGAATGAAACTACAATGTCTATCTTCATGGAAATTTGATAATAGTAATCCAAATTTTAGAAATAGTAGTAACTGATGACATTTATTAAGTATATAAAGGGGCAAACTCCATTTTACCCCTTTGTGGTTTGACCTTGGAGCACTTTACCGACTTTAAAAAATAGCCAAAAAGCCCCCACGTGGTTTTGAAGAAATAAAAATGATTCATGAGTGTTTCTTCTGGCTGTTTTGTATAGTTGGTTAGAGATGAAAACTGATCCGGATATGTTTGGTTTTTTAGAGTTTTTGGATGAGGTTATGGGTTAAAGGGTGTGTTTTGTCCCCTTTGGGGTTTTTGTATTCTTTGGATCATCTTGTTGCTTTCTCAATAAAGTCCACATACTCATTTATCAAAAAAAAGAAAAAAAAAAGAAAAAAAAAAAAGAATGATTCATGGGTGTCTGCAGGCAAAACAGGACTAGGTAAGTCCCGTAGTTTCTATAAAAAGCTACAACTGCAGGAATAATTTAGAAAAAGTTGTTATGATTTATATTATGACTTAATTTTCTGAGTGGCTACGATTTAGTTGATAATGTTAATTGGGAGAGTATTGAATGATGGTTTCCATGACAGAATATTGCTTGAGGAAACCTATGTCTTGTTGCCTATGGTTGGATTTGTGAAGATTTTAGGGTTAGGGCTATATTAGGTAGGACCTTAGGAGAAAGCTTCTAGTCTTTCTAAATGAAAAATGGTGAAAATTGGCTTGGTTTGATGGATAATAGCTAATTTGCTGCTTTGAAGTATAAAATCAAACGCTAAAGTTATTAGGGTTAATTGGCGCTCAATAGGCCAAGGTCTTGGAGTTGAGAGGTGCTGTTTTGGGGCTGCAAATAGTGCCCTGAGAAAAATAACCTGTTGGTTTAGTGGCAGGAAGAAGAACCATTTGTATATCTGGTCTAGAATTCCTTGGAAATTACTCGAGTCTGTGTAATGCATCGCACAGTTTTAAACATGAATTCTCTGAATCTAACTCATCTATTGACTAGAATTATTACATAGATACTTATACGTTGCTGGACTTTTTCTAATTTTTCTAGGATTAATACATGAAAACTATAAAATTCTGACCATTCAAACATTTTGGACCTAAATAAAATCACATGTAATGATTTGATAACATTCTTGACACATGAGATCCGTAGGCTTCATCTAGAACTCTTATCCAAATTATTTTTTTAAAACACATTTGCCTTAGATTAGTTTACTAAAACCTAATAAAAACTGAAAAAGAAGCTATCCAGCAGCATACTAACCTATAAATTTCATAAAATGAAGACTCAACTTAACCCTAAACTCCACTAGAAGATTCCCTACATATGCTCCATGTAATTCTTTATTTTGTTGGAATCCATGTGAAATTTCAGATTTACCCTTTTCTTCCTTCTATGCTCTACATCTTTCTTGTTGCTTGCATATCTCTTGTTGTGTATGTTGATGGTTTGGTAACATGGCCTTCTTTCTGTAAGAGTTTACTGTAATTGCACATGGGATAAGGAAAAATATTGGTTTGTGCAATAGGTACCAGGATGATTGGCTCAAGACGTCAGCAAGCTCTCTGCAACTCTGGGAAAAGGCTCCTCTTGAACCATATGCTCTGCAAAAACCTGTAAGTTATATAAAACCAGTTGTGAAAAACAATTTTTTAGCACATTTTCATTATGATTTCTTTATATTCACCACTCAAGAGATCCTACTAAGTGGTGTTGAACATTTTTTATTTCCCAAGTGATTCTACAATGTTTTATTTTTAATTTTTCTAATTCTTCATTAAATGTTGCAGATGACTTACTATGTTGTATGTCCTGACATTGATCCCCTTACTGCCGCTGCTGCGGACTTTTTTCAGCAACTTGGCACTGGTTAGTGTGATAAAAAAGTTACATTTGTGCTTAATTATTAGTGGTTGAATGTATGTAGACTAAATTAAATTTTGGTATTTTTTTTTTGTTTCTTTAAGTGAGAGAGAGGGCCATGCCATAGTCCTCTCACTATCTTGTCTAAGGGGTCAAGTCTTAACCAAAAATAGGTTAAATTTGCATGATGGATATTTTCATCATGTCTTCAGAGAATGGAAACTACTGAATGTTCTCCCTGAGGAAGGAGGGGAAAGCATGGGATATGGTGTTTACGTCTCCTCGGTTGCTAGGGATACTTCTCTCAAGGGGAAAACAGGGAAAAGTATGAAGTATGATTTTAATTGTTTTGTTCATGTGTTGATGTTTTGATCCAAGTAGACATTTTCTACTTATTAAAAAGTTCTTACACAAGTCGTTTGCCTCGAACATTATTTTTGGAATGCATGGTAAATATTTGCTGATTGTTCTATGAGTTCTGCTACTTGCTACTCCACTTGCACCTTAAGCTGTTGCATGCCTATGTATCTTCATTCTTGCTGAAACAGTTAGCACCTTATGGATTACATGCACACCTAATTTTTTAACATTTGGGATGATTGATAAAACTTGTGCTAGCTTTTCTTTAAGTTGCATCACATGTAGATCATGTGATACAAATCAGTGGTATGCTCTGATAAATTCATGCTTCTAGTTCAATAATAGAATGTCTTTATTATCTAGTGTCTGTGTGTAGACGTATCAGTTGCTTATATGTGTATTTACTATGCCCTAACTTTTGTCATCGGTTGTTTCTTCCAGTTTATGAGACATGCAAACTGGGGACTCATTTGCCTCAAAATTTGGGAAACCAAATGGAGATAGACTCTGGAAAATGGTCATCATCGGGTTTTGTTCTACTTGACTGCCCTCAATCAATGAAGATAGAAAGCAACACAGCATCTCTTGTTGGCTCAATCAGTGATTATTTTCTATCTCTATCCAATGGTTGGGATGTAACGAGCTTTCTGAAATCTCTTTCGAAGGTTCTTAAAGCGTTAAAACTTGGTTCATGCTTTGCCTCAAACCCAAAAGAAGGAAATGGTGGTCCTTGTACGGTAAGTGGCAACTACTATCAACATAAAAATGTAGCAAGTACCATTCACCTTCATTTAGGCCTTGTTTGGGGTACTTTAAAAAAGTCAAAAAGTCATTATCCTATTTAAGTCACATCTTCTTATTTAAGTCACATCACCTCTCTACCACATTACTTCAAACCCAATCCATACCCAACCCATATTTCACAAAAAGCCAAAAAGTGTACTTGTTTAGATCATCCCAAACCACCCCTTAATTGTTGATTTAAAGATCAAAATTCACTATCATATTACATATCAATGAGCATTGTTCTCAATACTTGATTGATTCCAAATATCAATGTTAAATTTATCTTTATTTATTCTTGTTTTGTTTCTATTCTAACTAGCTTTATGTGTATTTTGAGTAAGGAGAAGTTGATGTATGACAAGTGTGATGAAGACTCTCCTACTAGTAGTGAGCCCAAACTCAATGCACAACAGCAGACAACTTAGGATTTGGGACTAATTTCAATTAGTTTTTATTGGCTGGATGGGTGGTAAAATATGGGGATTTTAGGGTTTCAATAGGTGCAACAAAGGGTAGAGTTTTGAAAAGATATTGAATTTTAGGTTGTTCTGGGACTATTCTAGGGGCTATGAATAGTACCTGGTGAACTATTACTTGGGGCTGTTACGTATTTTTTGTATGATAGGGTTAAGAAACTATGATGTTTGAGGGTTGAATAGGACTCAATACAGATATAGGTTTGTAGTTTAGAGGCTTAAACTTAAAGTGCAGAAAAATTTAAAAGAAGAAGAAAAAGCCTAGGGGATCACATAAACACCTATATTTCATATGCATCACACCAAGGCCATGTTTGATAACAGATATAGGTTCTTTGGGGTTTGACTGGATTTGTAAAACAATACGATTATGGACGAGTTTAGTATTATGTAGGATAATAGATGGGATTAGTAATGCTATGGGAGTTTTTGTACTATGTTTAATTAGGATAGCTTATATGTGTTGAATGACTTGATATACATTGTTGGGCCCATTTCCGAGTAGTTTAACCTTTTGTGGCAATTGGTGACTTAACAATAGGAGGGATAAGAGGGAGAATTATTTTTGACTATTGGATGGAGTGATGAGGCTAATCCTATGAATCCTATGGCCATGGGATTAACTATACCATGGGGGTATTGTTAGTCCCACCATTTGGCCGGATTGGTAGTCCCATGAGACTGTAAATTCCAAGGCTTTTGCAGACATCACAAAATATGTGTCCCATTGGGCCCCACGTGTTTTTTAATCCTGGTTGCAGGGGATTGGAAGCCTCCATACGACTTGTCAAACATGGCCCTATGGTTAGAATTGTGTCACACAATACATAGACTTCCTTCACCAACTAGGACTAGGATTTTTAAAAAGACAATTACATGGCTTTTTTTTGGGTTTATAACTTAGGTTAAGTGTTTCTGTGTGCACATGTGCGTATGTTCTATTAACAATTGACGTGTTGTGTCTTTCATGTTCCTTTCTCGTGAAAATATGCATGATGCTTCTTCAGCCTCCTAAATATTTATATTGGAAATCATTTACTAAAACTGGTACGAACCTTCTAAAATGGGGAAAATTTGAAGAGAGAGCTTTCCTGGTGATTAAGATGATCAATTTCAGAATAGGGTAATCAAGACAGATAAGAAGATAGAAGAGAATGAAAAGCAAGAAGATTACATGTTACTTTATCAGCCCACCTTGCCAAATGGTAAGGGGGTCATTATGAATGATTGAGAGGTTTTCAGGTGTAGACTTGGTTGACAACATAAAAAAAACATCTATGAGGAGACAGCTTTATATGTTGTAGTGTCTAAGGATGACAGCCATTAGTTTATGAGGGAATTACAGCACAGTGGGAATAAGAAAAAAAATTTACAGAAACATGCGGGGTGCAAGTGATTCTGTGATGAGGTGCAAGTAAAATGCTTGCACCCCTCCATATTTGTGTTAAAAAAAAAAAAAAAACTGTCCCACTGGGATGTAATTCCCCCTTAGTTTAAATTGCTGAGGCATAGCAAAAGAAATTGTTGGTTGATTATGCCAACTTGTTTTCTTTATACGTTTCCCTGCTTGCATTGACAAATAAAATTTACAGGGATTGCTCCAAATGCTCCATAATATCCACACTGATATTAGAAATGTTATCTTTTTTCTAATTATTGGCATTTGCATCATGCCTTATTGGTAGTTAGTTAATTGTTGTTGTCAAACTGATCTCAAATCGCCTATGTTTTTCTTTTTCCGGAGTTAGGTTATCTATGTGGTGTGTCCCTTCCCTGAGCCTATTGCAGTTCTGCAAACAGTCGTTGAATCTTCCATTGCTGTTGGATCAATCATTCTTTCATCAGATAAAGAGAGGAGATCTATAATGCACAATCACGTTGGGAAGGCATTAAGCTGCTCTGCTGCTGTGGATGAAGCATCAATATCCAATGTTTTAACACTTTCAGGATTTAGTATTCCTAAATTGGTACTGCAAGTTGTGACGGTTGATGCGATTTTTAGAGTCACAAGTCCAGCTCTCAGTGAGCCTGTCATTCTCAAAGATATTGCTTTTACTGTGTATAATAAAGCTCGGAGAGTTTCACGAGGATCCGCCCCTGATGTGGTCCAATCTTCGTCTATGTCAGGTAGATCTCATTCGGTTATGATGCAAACGACTTCTCCGATTTCAGGGATGTGGAAGGAGTGTATTGGTCCTCGAATTACAGGGTCTTCCCTTCCAAGAGAAGGTGAACTTGATCCTAGTTTGAGGTCTGGTAGTTGGGATAACTCTTGGCAATCATCAAGAGCTGGAGGCTTAGGTTGTGATCCACACAGAACTGGCGATTTTCTTCCTCAAGATGAAATCCGTTACATGTTTGAACCACTATTCATACTTGCAGAACCTGGTTCTCTGGAGCATGGAGTCTCACCTACAGTTTTGACTAATTTATTATCCGAATCTTCAAAGCCTTTGTCTGATGATTGTATTAGTGGAAACTTTGTGCAGAGTTCAGCTTCATCAGGTAGTGTAGATGCTGCATCAAACTCCCAACTTGATGGATCTGAGCCGGATGGATTTGGATCTGGCCATCAAAAGACACTTCCAAGTTTACATTGTTGCTATGGATGGACTGAGGATTGGCGTTGGCTAGTATGTATATGGACTGACTCTAGGGGTGAATTGCTTGACAGCCATATATTCCCCTTTGGTGGAATTAGTAGTAGGCAGGATACAAAGGGTTTGCAATCCCTTTTTGTCCAAATGCTGCAGCAAGGCTGTCAAATTCTTCAGGCATGCTCTGCTCCTGATAGTGGTGTTGCTAAGCCTAGAGACTTTGTGATCGCACGCATTGGATGTTTCTATGAGCTTGAGTGCCAGGGTATGTGATTTCCTTCCATCATCTTATGATCCCAACTTCTACATGTTATTTTTGTTTAAAGGAGTCATAATTTCTTGTTTTTCTTTATTTTATGATATGCAAGGTTTAATGGGTGTCTGCCTGATTTCTGTGTTCCTATTGCAGCAATATTTTCATTAAAATGACGCTCTTTTTATAATGATGCATGACCTTTGAAATACTACACTTTTTGCTTGTAAGCTGGCATAGAAATTAGGCAGCCACTTGCGATTATCATTTTTTGGTCAACAATTTGGGAAAAGTAACAAGTGATGCAGTTGGTTGTAGTTGTTTTCTATTACCTTGTCAATTTGGTATTTGTGTTCCTTTCGCTAAACATCAAATGATCATTATAAACAGAATGGCAGAAAGCACTCTATTCAGTTGGGGGTTCCGAGGTGAAAAAATGGCCCCTGCAATTACGGCGATCAGCACCTGATGGGATGCATGCAAGTAGTAATGGGACTTCCTTGCAGGAACAAGAGATGAGTTTAATTCAAGAGAGAACCCTTCCTTCTTCACCTAGTCCTTTGTACAGCCCTCACTCAAAAGCTTCTGGTTACATGAAAGGTGGTTTGGGACAACCCTCTGGTAGAAAGCAGCTAATGGGTGGACATCCAGTCATAGACCAAACTAGGGGTTTGCTGCAGTGGGTGCAAAGCATCAGTTTCGTCTCGATTTCAATTGATCATTCCTTACATCTAATTTTTCAAGCTGATTCAACATCTCCTGGTAGTTTTTAATTTCCCTTTTTTACTTCATTCCACTTACACATGCTTTTATTGCATTTATTCCATATAAATCTTCATAATATGCCTACATGTTGAAAGCAAATAAATTCATGCTATAACAAATGCACATGCACATGTTAATTGACAACCATCGATGGTTGTTTGATCATCTGGCATGGATTAACATTTTTAGGAGATTTCACCATGGCAAAGAATTTAGGTATTTAAGTTGTGCAAAATTTCCTCATTTTACATCTGTAGGCCAAAATAAAAAAAGGTCCGTAGAACCTACAGTTTTCAAAATAATTAATTACCTTATTCGTCTTGTAAAGTTCATGTAATTAAGGTGCTTTATTACTTTTTTTTAACTTACAAATATCTTATATTTTTTCTATCATGACCTAAACTAAATCTAGTCTTCCAAATGTGTCAAGTAGCTAGCAGAAAATTCACCTACAATTTTGTCTGGTAATCAAATTTTCTCATGCAGTTACGGATAGGACATTCTTATTATGTTTCTTTTGTTTCTTGATTACTTAAAAGAAATCAAGTGCACTCTGTATTGCATGAATCATCATTTATCCTATTAAATAAAGGAAGAATGTTAAACAATTTGAATATTCAATTGTTTGATTGTCAACATGGTCTGGGGATTTTGTAAAAATGATCACTCGGAAACATATTTGCATTGTACCCTAACCAAGGAAACATAGCATCATGTCTATGTCTGACAGCCCGTACTGTGCCCAATATGTACTTACAGGGCATCGGACACAAGTCTTTTCTGGGGTGAGCATTGAGCACTTCTCCTTGGGAACTATATTAGAACACCTTTCCATGTTAAGGAGATGCTCAATGCATATATACATCACATGGAGTAGTTTACTTGAATTTTTTTGGGGATGTTTTCTAAAAATGTAGTTGTTGCTATAAGATTGATGTGGTAAAGTCAGATTGTCTAACTCATGCCAACTTCCTGATGTTACCACACTTCCCCTTAAAAGGGACAGAAATAATATATGTAGAAATTGCCACTCTTCAAAGTTTTTCTCTCTTCTACCTTAAATTGTATGTACAAGAGAGGAGTTGCTTATGCATGTCCTATTGTACTATCATCTGATCATTTGCAGGGGGTACTCAAGGTAGCAGCAATGGGAACGTGTCAGGTTATCATGAAGGGTTCACTCCTGTAAAGTCTCTTGGTACCGCATCTGCCTCTTACATTCTAATACCTTCACCGAGCATGCGCTTCCTTCCTCCGACTCCGCTGCAGCTTCCCACATGCCTCACTGCCGATTCCCCACCACTCGCCCATCTCCTGCACAGCAAAGGCTCTGCAGTTCCCCTTTCCACAGGATTTGTGGTATCCAGAGCTGTATCTTCCATGAGGAAAGACTCCAGGAGCAACTCAAAAGAAGAATGGCCTTCGGTTCTTTCTGTCAGTCTTGTTGATTATTATGGAGGTAATAACATTACCCAAGAAAAAATTATTAGGGGGATTGTCAAGCAGGGAGGGAGGGGTTTAAACTCTGAGGCTAGAGATTTTGAAATAGAGACTCATTTGATCCTTGAGTCTGTAGCAGCGGAACTTCATGCTCTATCATGGATGACTGTTAGCCCAGCATACTTGGATAGGCGAACTGCACTGCCTTTTCACTGTGACATGGTTTTGAGAGTGAGAAGGCTTCTTCATTTTGCTGATAAAGAGCTCTCTCGATGGACATAAAAGATGTGAGTTTAGGTAATGAAGACGTATATCCTCCATGAGGGAACTAAGAGCATCCACCTTATAAGCTCAGTATTTGGACATGGTTTTGATCCGGTGCTTCTTGAATGTGCTGATGAAGAATTCTAATGATGCTCCGAACGTAATGAATCTAGGTCAAATGGAATCTTGTGGAAGCTGTATCCTCTGTATGGGATTACTTTGAGCAGCTATTTGATAGGTTGCTATTTTTGTCTGCCTGTATGCTTCTTTGTAAAATTAATTGTAACATGTAATTTGCACATAATTTAAACCTGCTGATTAGATGCAGTTTTGGATTTCCCAGAATTGAGTAGTCTGGGAAAGAAATATACAGATTTAGGGGTAGAAATAGAAAAGTAGATCCCAAACTATGTATATAAACCTTCAGAAAAGTTATTCTTAACAAAGCATGATCTTGTCCCGTTCAAAAGAAAAAACAAAAAACAAAGCATGATCTTGTAGGTCTGATCAGTGTGGGGATGTCTTCTCCCAATGGTAGAAGGCATCTAATTGTAATGGAGGCATTTGAGTTTTCTTTTATCATTCATAAATACTATGTAAGCCTAGAGATATAGCTAATGATTTGTTATGGCTGTTTGTGTTTTTGTTAGGGAATGTTTGGTTACATGATTGCAGTGTATTTTATCGTCTTTTCTTTAGTAATACTCAAGATAAGAAAGATGTGACCACCGATATGTGTTGGTTAAATTAAGTGTTCTATATTGAATATGTTTGATTGGAGTAATTTACAAACAAGCTCATACTAGATGTTCTGGATTAGAAAAGTTTATGGTTTTTGGTTGTAGATTGTCCTGTGATCTTCAGCAACATTTGCAGAAGGATTTGAAAATTCAGGTATCTGCTTCATCGGAAATCACTGGATTTTTTATGCCAATCAGTCATCTTGCACTGCTTCGCAAGCTGAGCACCTTCTAGTGTGAGCAGCTGCATTAAAAGGGCCAAGTGAGGCCATGTATGTATTGTCCTGTGTGGTGCATTTTTGTTAGTTACACCTTATTGCGGAGGTAAGGCCTAGTAACACTTAATTTTTGTCTCACAAATTTTTCAGTCGAATGGTACAAGTTGTGTCTATCCGTGTTCATGTTTTTATTTAGGGTAAATAACAATTTAACCTCCTATAGTTTACTCAAAAAATACAAAACCCTCTCTGTAATTTTATTTATAACACTTAAATCTCTAGATTTTATGGTATGTTGTAATTTTTGACAGACGTGATCAAAAACAAAAAAGAAAAAAAGAAAAAAGGGGAAAGAAGAGAGAGAAGGAGAAACATAAAAATGAACATTGTATATATATACAGAAAGAAGAAGCCTATGATTTTATTTTCTTCAGTATAATAATCAAGAACCCTTTGGGTGGAGAAGTTATTTGGTGGTCTTGGATTTGGATATGGATTTGGGTGTGTATGTGTGTTTTCTGATCTCTAATCATTTCATATATATGGAAAAATATATATAAACATGTATATACATATACAGGAAGAAGAAGTTTATGATTTCATTTTCTTCCATATCTAATATTCAAGAACCCTTTGGGTGGAGAACTTATTTGGTCGTCTTGGATATGGATTTGGGTGTGTTATATGTGTTTTTTAATATCTAATCATTCCATATATATATATATAGTTGTATAAACATGTATATATATACTCTCACTTCATATTTTTTTAACTCCATACTTGATAGTCCATCCTCCTACCTTATCTCATACTCCAACTACATATTATTTAGAAGCCCATTTGAGCCAAAACCATAAATCTCCAACTATTTTTTTAGCTCAAGAACCTCTCCAAATAGAAAAGTGAAGTCAGCTTTCAGAAATTTCAATGAACATCAAACAATGGTAGGAAAAGGCAATGCATTTTCAACAACAAAATTATAACTTTTTGTAAATAGTCCATAGTTGCGAACACCCACCAACCTCATCTCATCTCCTCCACTCAACCAACACCCACCACCCACCACCTTTCCCTCTTACGGCACCCATGGTGGTAGCCACCATTACAATTTGAGTCTTGGCTTAGTTAATTGGGTATACCTATGTATATAATGTATGTGTGTCTATAATGATAACGAGAAGATGAAGGATGATGGTGGTTGCTATGATAGAGAATGATAGACATAGATTTTAATTTATAGATTAACTTTATTTGAGTTAAGAGAATGATATACATAGATTTTAGAAAAATAATGAAACAAAAATGAAAAGGAAAGATGGAGAAATGAGGGAGATAAGCTAGAGAGAGAGAGAGAAGCAATTTAGAGAGAGAAGCAACGTCTTGGGTTTTCAAAAAACTTGGAAAGAAGAAGAAGGTAAGGAATTATCTAGTGTGATTGAGGGGCAAAAATTTTGGTTTTATGATCGTGCAACACATGCTCTGTTAAAATAAACGGTTCCGTCTGAAATTGCACTTTGATATGAAGTTCAGGGGATTTAAGTGTTACAAATGAAATTATAGGAGAATCCGTGTTTTTTGGGTAAATCACAAGGGATTAAATTATAATTTACCTTTTTATTTATATTTTTATGTCACTAGGAAACTTCACATGTTGAATATGCTAAACCAACCGTTTATAATTATATGATATGACCCCTATATACACAACAATTTAGTTTGTAATTTGTTATAATGGTTTTGATCATTTGAGTTGCTATTATATATATATAGAATTGGTTGTTGAGTATAGTATTGATCCATTGTTCAACTGAAAGAAATTTTATCTCCACAAAACATGATAAATCACGACCCAAATTTCATGCTTGAAGTACCAGTTTTTTATTCTGTTCCCATAAATAAAAAAAAAAAAAAAAAACTCCAGATTTTGATAGAATCTTGCGTTCCAATGAGGCGTTAGCTCATTTATTTGGTGTCACCATCACTTGATTGTTATAATGGTTTTGATCATATGAGTTGCTAATATATATATATAGAATTGGTTGTTGAGTATAGTATTGATCCATTGTTCAACTGAAAGAATTTTAATCTCCACAAAACATGACAAATCACGACCCAAATTTCATGCTTGAAGTACCAGTTTTTTATTCTGTTCCCCCCACCAAAAAAAAAAAAAAATCTCCAGATTTTGATAGAATCTTGCGTTCCAATGAGGCGTTAGCTCATTTATTTGGTGTCACCATCACTTGATTATTTTCAGATGTTATTATTCATTGGATTGGCCCTGACGAGATCATCGAACACAAAAGGCGTAGAGTGACGTTCCTCCGGAGAAGGATGGAAATGTCACTCCCAAGCTTACCCTGTATCCATTCCCGAAATAAATGCAACCGTGGCTCACTGATACTCCACCATACACAGTGGCTCCAGTTTCCCGTGACCAAAGAATTTTTCCTGTTTTGGCGTTCATTGCGTATATGGGTCCTGTCCGATACGTGGAACCAGCAAAGAGGACTCCATTGGCGACAGTGACAGGGCCATAAGCGGTGGCATTGCTAGGATTTCCGGTTGACCATAGGATCTTGCCAGTGTTGGCATCCATAGCCACCCATCCACCGACAGTGGTGTTCTTCTTCGATGGTTTGAGAGTGAAGTTTTTGCCATCACTGTTGACAATGTTGGTGTACACCCTTTTCCCATCGGTGGCTGCTCCCCAGGTACCTCCTCCGCCAACACCACCTGGTCCAGCCTCCTACATCAATGCGCCTCTTAGCGTTAGCAACAATATTATGCATCTAGACAAAAACATTCCGCGAATCAAATTTATTGTAGATATAAGTGTGACGTTACGTTATACTAAATTAAATTTGAATATGCATCATACATTTTGAAAATATAGTCAAAATATATTAGTGGACTGAATGAATAACTTACCGTGGACCAGAATATAGTGCCATTATCGCGATCCAAAGCCCACGCAAACCCACTTTTCTGAACAGCCACGACGATATCACGCTTGGTTCCATCAACATGCACACTCAGCATCATCGGAGCTTCACCGAAATCAGCATCCACGCTGGGTCCAGGCGGGCAATTAGGGTTGGAACCAGAAGAGCAGGCAACGAACCACACGTCATAACCCCCCAATTGTCTATACCACTTGATCTCACCAGAGTCCAAATCCAGAGCCATCATAGAATTGGAGTGATTATCAGGCTCGATACACTGGTCTGGATGAGTAGGGACGGTTCGATTGTCCTGCTTTTCCTGGCATTGTCTTATTCGAAGAGGAGCGGAGTATAGGTTTCCGGTGGCGATGTATACAAGGTTTCGGCGAGTGTCTATGGAAGGGCTGCTTCCCCAGATGGCGGCTCCGGAGTATTCTCCGGTGGAGCCGTGGTTGTCGGGAAGCATGAAGGTCTGCCATTGGACGGCACCTGTTCGGATGTCCAGCTTCGCAAAGCTTCCGCGGAAGGTGCAGCATTTCTCAACGCTCAGTAATTCTTCCAGCGATGATATTCCGACGTAAAAACCTCTGTTAAATTTTTTTAAGATAAATGATAAGAAGAATAATTTGTAAAAAACTCAAATCAAAATGTGACACTCACTTTTGATGAGTTTGTTTTTTGTTTTGCCAAATATATATTTAGCTAATTGATGATGCAATAATGACCTAGGCCAAGCCTAACTCAGTTGGTTATCATGATTTTCTAAAGGATTTAGTCCTTAATTAGGAGGAGATCATGAATTCAACTATCTTTAAAAGAGTTAAATTTAGGGGATAATTAAGGGTGGGAAGATTAATTTTCATAGGTGTTAATCTAACAATTAACTATTAATTTTCACCGATTAATAAGGGGACAAGCACTAAACACTAAGGTTAACCGTCATAGATGCTAATATAATAATGACTAACAACTGACCTTAAAGGGGCAAGCACTAATCACTAAGGACGGGGAGACTAACTCTTATAAAGACTAATTTAACAACTAACAATTAACTTTCGCCGATCACAACAAAGAAAAAGAAAAAAAAGAAAAGTACAATGGCGTATGCCATTTTCAAGACAGACAAACAATTTGGATAATGAAGAATACAAGGGGCAGATATCATTTCATAACCTAATGGTCAGAAAATCCCACCTCATCGTTGTCCTAAACATTAATTAATATTTAAATTTTGTAGTATACTTGTAATCTTTTGACTTTCTTGTTCTTTTATATTCAATTTGGATAATGAAGACAATAAGGGGGCAGATATCATTTCTTTATCTAATAATCGGAAAATCCCACCTTATCGTTGACCTAAACATTAATTAATATTTAAATTTTGTAGTATACTTTATAATCTTTTGACTTTCTTAATCTTTTATATTTGGCCTAGAAGGGATGTACACACTTACGAGTGCAGTTGAATATGATATTATGAGACCGCTGAGAGTTTATTATAACAAATCTAGTGTTTGTTTTCTTATAATTTATCTTATGGATATTTTTTTTAATAAAAAAGAAAACTTGACATCTACGCTGAATTTTCTAAAATTGCGTGTCTATGATATGCCCAGTTATAAGTTTGTGATATTTGATTGTGAATTTAAATATAATTTAGTTATGACTTATTGTGATAGTAATAATGGCTTGTAGTATTAATTATGACTTGTGATTATTATTTTAGTTATGATCGAAAAGATTTTAGTAATATTTGATTATAACTTGTTTTTTGTGTTTTTTAATTATAATGAAAAGTGATTTAATGATTACATTTTTTTTGAACAATGTATTTTAAAATGACCCAAAATAATGATAATATACGTGATGGTAATACAATTGGTGATGTGATTTGAATCTTGGGAATACACCCAATGCCAAAACAGAAAAATTCCATTCTATATTTTTACACAATTTTGTGCTACCATGAATGAATTCTGTTTGTAAATGGTCTATTGTTTGTCAAGTTTATTATAACAAAATTAATGACAATTCCACTCAGTAATTATTAGCCTCAGCTATTGTCAATGTTTGCCTTTCCGGATACAAAAAAAATAAAAAAATAAAAAATAAAAATAAAAATTGAAAGATCAAAACAATGAAAGAGAGAACTACATTTTCTGACTGGAGAAAAGAAGTGGCAAACAGTGAATATATTAATTGAAAAAAAAAAAAATGGAAAAATGGCTACAAAAATATACATGTATGTATGCAGGCAAATTCGAATCCTAGAAAAAATAAAGAGTAATTTGTATAAATTGACTCATTAGAGTGATTTTTTCGCAATTGAAAGGCATTTTGATGAATAAAAAAGGCGCTAATTCAGCATAATAATAATATTATTATTACTAATAACAGTAACTAACCCCTTGTGAAATGTTCCGGACACGGTAACAACACCGGTGGGATGGCTATCAAGCGGGGTGGACCAGGCAAGCTTCCCGGTGGCACGTTCAACGGCAACGACAAAAGCGGGCCCATATATGCCGAAAATGAGCAGATCATCGGCCACCGTCGGAGTGGATCCGACAACCGTCCCTGCTGAAATTGCCTTTGACGCACAGTTGTATATTGAATGCCAGTTAGCTTTTGGAGGTCCTTTTTCCACACAACTGACCCATCCGCGGCTTTAACCGCATAGATGAAGCCATTCCAGCAAGGGAAATAGAGAGTGCCGTTGAATATTGCAGGTGTTGCACTTATGTCTTTCCCTGTTTTGAATTCCCACTTGAGACTTAGGTTTGAAACAGTTGATGGGCTGATCTTGGATTCTCCATGGGCATGTCTCTGGTTATATATATCACCACCATGGTTCAACCAATCTCCTGAATTTGAACCTACAGTGAGACTCAGAGTGTGTAGACTAAAGATGCATAGGAAAAGCAACAAAAGATTCTTCTTGTTGCAGGTTTGTGTTGGTGCCATGTCAGTGGAAAATGAAATACTCCCTCATGATTTAATGTCTATCTATATATAAATAAATCTGCCGACACAGAATTGATCCCACAACCCCCCAAAAAAAAAATCACATAACCAATCATATAATAAAATACAAGTTTTATAACGGGCCCACCATCTACTATAGATGGTCAAAATTAATATAAAGTTCATGTATAAGGAAAGGAAAGGGTATGCTAATAGTTTAATTTTGAAACCTATCTTATACTGAATTTGTTTTTAAATGGTCCTAGTATCATCATAGGTGATGTGACAAAAGTATATAAAGATGGATGTGAGGAATATTTAAAATATAAAATTAATAGATTTACAATTCATATATGTAATATATTGGAAATTAAAATATTATATGATGCATAAGTAGGCACCATCTCTACATTTTATCCAATTAAATAAAGACAAAACATTTTAAATTTGACCACATTCAATGTTTTTTACTTTTTTATTTTTACATATAATATAGCTTTAGGCCTTGATCTTTTACTTTAAAAGATAGGATTAAACAGGCTCCACACTAATAAAATTTGCTGGTCAAATTATCCCCGATTCAATAATGAAGAGCTGTGAGCATAATTTAGGTGCTGTTTAGGAATTAGTTTTTTTTTTTTTTTAAGTGATATTTTAATATTTTGACTAAAAATCAAGGTTACCCGATAAAGCCTAGTATGAAAATGGTAGTGTAGGCAAACAAAGACGAAACAAAATAACGTTCAGGCGCAGATAGAAGCTTAGGTCATTGTGTTGCTGTTGTGGCCGTCTTCTTAAAATCTATCTTTGTCAACCTTCACCTCTCCTTCAATGAGTTGGTAAACATAGACAACAACACGCAGGCCATCAATGTCCATGAGCACGAAACTTGGTTTCACATCATATGTGATGCTTCTGTACAGCCCCGACCTTGAGATTTTCGGAACCTAAAGTCGATAATCAACTAATAAATATCACTAGATCATTTGGGGCCCTTTACATATATATATATATATATTTTTCATTGAACAAAAAAAAAAATCGAAGGTAAAGGATAAAAGATTTGTGTCAAAATCACAAAAAATACTTAGTATTACATTATAACAATTAATATGTATCACTTGATCCTCACTTTTCTTGCATTTTTAGAAGCAAATAAATCAATCATATTTGCATAATCTAGTTTTTTTCCTTTTTGCAAATCTAAATGGATAATTTCTTTTAAGAGTCATGATGAGTTGAGATCAAAATACTTTTTAGATCAAAACAAGTACAACAGCACCACCACCACTTAACAAATACAAAACTTTTAAATTATGTGATATGAACTATTAAACTTATGATGTTATAATAGCACAAGTGGCAAAAGATTAATTTTTCTTGATGATGCAGATTTGTATAAATACCAATATTATAATAGCATTTGAACAAAAGACAAGACAAATATTTAATTAATTGAATAGAAAAAAGACCTACTTGTGATGTGCTGTTGCTCTAAATTCTTGAGAAATTCTTTAGTACTCTGTTGTGCCGCTTCTCTCAAATTTTTGGAAAAATTGAATTAAGAGTTTGGATTGGGAATTTAATTTTGTAATGAGTTAATTTATTTTAAGTTAGTTTGGGCCTTCTTTAATTTTTTTGGACTTAAAACATACTTAATATATTACACTCAACTATAATAGGAAGGGGCCCTTTTTTTGGGTCTATTTTGAGAGGCTCTAAGCCATGGCTTGGTAGGCCTATGCCTAGGGCCGGCCCTGCTTCTGTATGCACCAGTCGCAGACCCGGGGTTTATGACAACCCCGCCCTTATGTTTGTAGGCCTTAAACTGATGGGTGTGACCACTAACAAGAATATACACATCTAGCTGCCTTTGGAGCATGGCTAAATAATAGATGGATAGTAGTACGCCCCTCCTTCCTTTTCCCTCTTTGCTTCCTACATATCAAACAACAATAAGTACATCTATTCCTACCATCTTCCTTCTCCTTATTTATTCTCCTTATTTATTCTGTCCCTGTCTTCCCTCCAACCAAATGGACTCTTCAAGCCACTAAGTCTTGCCCTGGAGACTCCATTTGGCAGCATAAACAAGGGCTCAATAGTGTTTATGGATATTTATCTCGGAGTCCTAAGCCTTCAAACAATGTGTCATGATCCGAACCTACCCCTATAGATTAAGGTCATAACTAGCCAGTAATCATGAGATTACCTACGGCCTCAAACATAAATCAATTAAAAATTAATAATATGGGGTCAGATGCGGAAGCAGACTTAAAAATTTTGTCCAATGACTTGTGCTTACATGGCAAATTAAAAAACATTTCCCATATACTTGATAATAACTCACACCACATATTAGTAGTTAACATCTTGTGCACCCAAGATCATTCAAACACATAGTTAGGTATATCAAAACCTTATACACATAAATGGTGTATCATGACCAATGGAAATAGCAAAAGATCATAAACAAAGCCTCTTGCGTGAGGCACCTGGGCTGGCTTCACAAAACTCGGGTTCCTTTATCAAATTCCACTAAGGCTGGGGTTAAACATCCTTTTACTCACCTACATACATATAAATAAGAGTGAGTTAACACCCAATGAATAATACCAAAGTAAAGGAATTATATGAATGAGATTCATATTAAGTACATCAAACCCGTAAATTTCATATACAAACGGCCTTAGGCCTATTCTGTGTTTTTGTTGTACATGTCAAACGGCCTTGGGCCCATTTTAAATCCTTAGCAAACAAATCAGACGGCCTTGGGCCTATTGTATAACTTGTCAGATTCATCAAACGGCCTCGGGCCCAATTCAAACATTTTAAACGTATCAAACGACCTCGGGCCTATTATTTCCATATTCATATTTATGCGCATTTCATATTCGTGATCATGATCACCTTTTCATTCAAACGGCCTTTGGCCCATTACATTCATATTCAAATAACCTTTGGCCTATTACGATATTCAAACGACCTTTGGCCCATCATAATATTCAAGCGACCTTTGGCCTATCACGATATTCAAACGACCTTTAGCCCATCACGATATTTAAACGGCCTTTGGCCCATTATAATATTCAAACGGCCTGGGGCCCAAATCATGTTCTTCACGGAGCCTTATACAAAAATTAAGCATATAGAATACTCATTCGTAATTCAAATAAACAAATCCATGAAGCTTATACAGAAGTAGCATTTGAAAAATAACATATTTGAAAATATCTTTACTAAGATATTACTCACAGTGTTCGGAGTGTTGATTCGTCTTCATGGATGCTCCTACACAATTCATAAACATACACAAATTGGATCATAATGCTATTTAATCCGCTCCTTAACTTGTTTAATTCTCTTAGGCTCTTTTCAAACCTTTTAATTCATTTAGAATGTTCATATTTATGCGCATTTCATATTCATGATCATGATCACCTTTTCATTCAAACGGCCTTTGGCCCATTACATTCATATTCAAACAACCTTTGGTCCATTACGATATTCAAACGACCTTTGGCCTATCACGATATTCAAACGACCTTTAGCCCATCACGATATTTAAACGGCCTTTGGCCCATTATAATATTCAAACGGCCTTGGGCCCAAATCATGTTCTTCACGGAGCCTTATACAAAAATTAAGCATATAGAATATTCATTCGTAATTCAAATAAACAAATCCATGAAGCTTATACAGAAGTAGCATTTGAAAAATAACATATTTGAAAATATCTTTACTAAGATATTACTCACAGTGTTCGGAGTGTTGATTCGTCTTCATGGATGCTCCTACACAATTCATAAACATACACAAATTGGATCATAATGCAATTTAATCCACTCCTTAACTTATTTAATTCTCTTAGGCTCCTTTCAAACCTTTTAATTCATTTAGAATGTACAATGCATGCCTAAGAGTGTTCAAATCATGAACTTGCGTGGCTTATCCACAACTTCAAATAATACTTAGAAATTCTTTCAAAAACATAGATTACAAGGTTTATGCTTAAAGGATAAAATTCAACGTTCAAACCAAATGAATCTTTCCCTCTCTTTCCTAATCATTTATTTATGTTGTTTCTTAGCTTATTGGTCCTCAATAAGTCATAATTCATGCTTAAGAATATCCGGAAAGAGATGGGAACGAAGATATGTATTTAAAACATCTTTTGAAAATAAGCTGTTGCCTAGAGCTAGTTTTTCGTGGCTAGAGCCAGCTGAAGGCAAAAACTGCGCTCGCTCAAGCCACCATTTCTTCGCTCGAGCCAACTTTTGCAGAGTTCAAAATATTGGGAGCTCGTAATGTTGGCTCGAGCTACCACTTGGTCACTCAAGCTAGCTGCGAATATTTTGGGTTTCAAAACAGAAAATTTGAGTTCCAAAAATGCATTTTAACATGTAAAAACTTGCATGGCCATTCTAAACTCATGAAAACACTTTGATAATCATAAAAACATTTTAGAAAACTCAAATACAGGATCATATCCATAAATTATTTGCTCAAAACCTCATGAATTTACCAAAATTGAACTCAAATCTTCATGCATGTGAGGATTAATTTCAAAACTCT